TCGCTTGTCGTACTTTTATACTGGCTCGAGTTATACAGGGTTATTAAGTTATAAGAGTATTAGATAGAGTGGAAGCAAATAGTATTAGACTAATACTCTTTGATGTTTACTAGACGAGTCCAGCGAGTCAAGCGCTGATGCGGGGAAATGGAACTACGTTTTTAGTGGAGGGGATTTATGGCATCTCTGACTGTATCTAACAATAAGTATGTCTGGCTACAAAGTGTAGAAACAGCTGATACGAGACGAAAGTATCAAAACCTGTTAAAAATTTTTAGCTGTCATTTAGCTATTGCTTGTTTGACTTGAGTCGACTTAGAAAGTTGTTAATAATTAATACTTACACAAAAAATGTATTGCGGTCACGAAGATATCCAAGAAAAAAATGATTTTCGACGCGTTGTGTTGTATTATGTACATTCCCAGTTTTGTTTTCATTTTACTACGTGCCATTCATGAACTACGGTGAGACTTTCAGTAATACAAAACAACAATGGCAAATGCAGAAAAACCTTTTAATTGTTTGTCACCCGGTTGCAATATGGTAAACACTCATTATGCATAGTTACTTTCTCTATTTACTTATGTCAGAATACAATCAAATTTTGATGAAAATTGACTCAACTTTATTTAATTTCCTTTTAATTTCTGTTCGTAAAGATGCAAAATTTAAATTATGAATAAGAAACTAGATTCTATTTTATCTTTGCAGAGTTTTATAAATGACAATCTATTAACAGTGCATAAGAAAAAGCATGACATGATGTTGAATCTAGGAAACGGTTCTAAGAGTGCAGGTTTCGTAGGTAAGAATTATTTAAATTTGTTTTCGAATTGTGTTTAATGGAAACAGAAAATGATGTTTTTATAAAATATTTGTAGCAGATCAGACTCCAACTCCAACACGTTTCATCAGAAATTGTGAAGAGGTTGGACTGTTTCAAGATTTACAAAATGTTAATCCTTTTGAAGAAACATTCAGAAGAGCAGTGGAATCAGGAAACACTGGTATACTTACAGTACCGGAGGTAAACAAAGTTTTCAAATAAAGTCAATTACTTTACTAATGAATTTATGTTTAGTTTATAAGTGTTTTTTTAGGTTGGAATTACAGATGATACTCTGCATACACCTCATATATTTCCCCACATAGCGGATGTGCTGTCTTCCAACAATCAAATTATGTCTGAAAGCAGCATTTCGATTACGGGAAAAAGTACAGAAGATAGAACCACTATTGACACCGAAGTCTGTACCAGTGTAAAACTTTCTGTATCAAATGAGCAGGATTCAAGAAGAGACAAACTAACAACAGAGAAGAGTGAGACACTTACAGAAAATATTATTCACGAAGTTACGAGCACATCGATAATACCAAGGACTTTACGAGAACAAATTAGTCCAAAATTGTGAGTGAATTATTGATTCTTTGTAAATTCGATCTTTTGTACTAATTATAGAACGTATTGTTGCAAAGGTCGATAAATGGGGAGGAAGTGCAACTGCTTTTGAAGACATCCGATGGTAAACTGATGCAACTATCGGCAACTCCGATTTGCGGATCTACTAACATAGGTACCTTACAATCACAGAAGCATTCAACAGTTGTGATAAAGACCGAGCCTTCTTTACAGTATTGTACAAAAGAGGATTCCAAGAAGCTGTCTACATTATCGTTGGCAAAAATGGTATTTAGTATCTACTACTGTTGCCATAATTAAAATACCGTTTAGCTATATTCTTTGCGGATTATATTTTCATGCATAATTGCAGAAATTGAAACAAGCATTGACAAAAAATACAATTTCGAAAAATCAGACACTTGACGACAACTCTGAGGAAATCGTGTTGAACCACTCGAAGAAACAAAATCGTAGTAAAACAGTGGAAGAGCAAGTAAAAATGAAGGCGGAAGAGCAGATAAAAAAGAAAGACATCCTTGAACGCAATCGTGCCAGCTCGATGAGAGCAAGAGCCAAAAGAAAAGCGTGGATTCAACACCTTGAGAGGACGGTCGCCAATGTGAATGAGACTAACGTGGCTTTACAAATGGAGATAAAGGTTTTACGTGCAGAGGTTGCCAAGTTGAAGAACCTTCTATTGGCCCACAAAGATTGCCCGGTTACAAAGGCGATGCAGAAAGGTACTCGAATGGTGTGAAAATGACCAACCGACATTTCACTTAATCTGTTATATTTATGCACGTGTACACTTATAGGAAGTGGCACAATACTGGCCCCCAAAGTAATATGGTTGAATTCAGATGTGGTAACCAATCCGACAACCCCAATGGGAATTTCGATGAAGCGATCGGCGTCGATTTCTTCTGCGGAAGTGCCAATCATGCCAAAGAAAAAGTTATCCTTGGTACCTTCGAAAAACCCAATTATCTTTCCAAAAGTGGATTCTACTACGAATTTGTCGATTCCTAACGCAACATTGATTAAAACTATACCTGCTATTAAGATCGGGGGTGTCAGCCAGCTTTTAACAGAGAAGGAGGAAACAAAGCAGATTTTATTTGTGCAGAACCCACAAAGAAAAATTGTGAAATCCTCTAGACAAATCATTCAGATCAACCCTAATTACGAAATAGAACATAGCGCAACGAAAAGTACGGGAACGTAAATTAACGGTAATATTAGATATTACAATTTGAAGTGTAAAAATGACGCGACAGTTGTTAAACTAATGTTGTCAAATTTATTTTCTACTAAGACAAAGATGTGCCTGCATATTGCGTATGAATCAGAGATGGTCGAAATTGCTATTTTGATAAAAATGTCAAATGAAATATAAGCACTTAACTTGCAAAATGAAATTATATCTTACATTAAATTAATGAGGACTATTTTCAGAAACCGATAAATGGAATGAAAGTACCAAATAAATCTGTGATTTTATTCGAATATAATTTTGTCCATCCCCGATATGAATGTGTATGCGTATAATGTATATTACATATTTTTTATTATTATTTATTTATTACGATAAATACAATAGTTTCCTTTACAATTGTGTTCCTTTTTTTTATTACCTCCCATTTATCCTACAAATAATATACAGATAATAAACAATTGTTGTTTATTATATATATACAAAAGAATCTAATTATTGAAAGAATGTTTAAGATTTTGCCTTTTAAGTTTCATGATACACATATTTATAAGTCATTATAATGACTTATAATTAGGTTAGAAAGATAAAAGACAAAATCTTAAACATTTGTTCAATACTTAGATGCTTTTGTTAGGGAGATAGGAATGGTATAATGATGCAAATTTGTATAATTTTATTCTATATTCATAATGAGCCAATAAAGTTTGGATTTACGTTATTTGAATTGCAATCGTAATTAATACACAAATATTATTTTTTTATGGTCAAGATGGTCAAAACGATTAAAATCATTATTTTTCAAAGAATGAATAAAGAACTGTGAATTTTGTAATTGATAATCAATGTAATCTATTAATGACATTAATTAAAGACAGTATTACCTATTATTCTGCTTTCCCCGGTAAGCTGCACAATTTTTCTGGCGTTGTGATGTCCACAAATTTCGATCGAAATTTTCAGCGTGAAGTAGCCATTTGAACGTGAAATGGCGGTTGGCGATCATCACGCAGACTCGTGGCGTCAGATCCTGGAACATTCAAGAATTCGAATTAGATGCCAAGTTACGATAAATATATATTTTTACTGTATCTAAGCAATAAATTAACTTGAAAACCCGGAAAAGAAACGATAATATTACTCTGGAAGACGTACTCCCCCAGTACGAATTGATATTCGAACGAATATCAATTGGTACCTCATGGAGAACGAAAATGACGAAAGTGCGAAATCGATCTAATTTTCTCAAAAAACCGATTCAATTAACAAGGAATGGTATTAATATATTAAAGAGACGGTAAGAAGTAACCCAAGGTAGAAATAGCAACGATTAGATATTGATTAAATCGAATTATGCGTACCTATTAATTTGCCGGATCATCGATCGACACGACACGTCTGTTCTCTTCAATCACCGCCGAGCGAAAGGACGTCTTCTTCTCGGCTTCTTGCTTCCCCGTAGGGGGTTGTGGGTGCTCGGCCAATGAAATTTGAGGATTTAAGAGTTTCCAAAGTAACGTTAAACGTGATTGGTTGTCACTTCTCAATATCGTGCGCGGTCCTTTTGAACGGAAATAGAAATTGGAAAGTGAAAAGTATCGATATGTATGATATATGTAGATATATATTATTACCCTTGTCTGTACGAAATTTCCGAGATTATTTTCTTTTATTGATGTAACAGGAAGGGAGAAACTTGTTTACATTTAGTAACCTTACTAACTTCGATAAATGTAATATAATGTAAATATTTTACCGATACTTTAATTTAATAATCTTGTTTATACTGGTTTACAATTAATAAATGTAATAACATTCGTCGTATTGTTTAAAAATTAGGATATTCATACTACATAAATTGCTCGATCACGTCATATCAACCTAAACCATTAAATCTTTAATCTAAACTAATTAATGTAATTCCGATTAATGTCCTATGAGATAAGTGATCTGTATTATAATAAATATATAATTTAGGTTAAGAAAGAGCTAATAAATTGGCCTAATAAGTGATGCATCGGTTTTGTAGCTACATGAAAGAATAAGTGATTGGAAATCGATTGTAAACATCTATCGAAGTTAGTAAGGTTACTAAATGTAAACAAGTTTCTCCCTTCCTGTTACATCAATAAAAGAAAATAATCTCGGAAATTTCGTACAGACAAGGGTAATAATATATATCTACATATATCATACATATCGATACTTTTCACTTTCCAATTTCTATTTCCGTTCAAAAGGACCGCGCACGATATTGAGAAGTGACAACCAATCACGTTTAACGTTACTTTGGAAACTCTTAAATCCTCAAATTTCATTGGCCGAGCACCCACAACCCCCTACGGGGAAGCAAGAAGCCGAGAAGAAGACGTCCTTTCGCTCGGCGGTGATTGAAGAGAACAGACGTGTCGTGTCGATCGATGATCCGGCAAATTAATAGGTACGCATAATTCGATTTAATCAATATCTAATCGTTGCTATTTCTACCTTGGGTTACTTCTTACCGTCTCTTTAATATATTAATACCATTCCTTGTTAATTGAATCGGTTTTTTGAGAAAATTAGATCGATTTCGCACTTTCGTCATTTTCGTTCTCCATGAGGTACCAATTGATATTCGTTCGAATATCAATTCGTACTGGGGGAGTACGTCTTCCAGAGTAATATTATCGTTTCTTTTCCGGGTTTTCAAGTTAATTTATTGCTTAGATACAGTAAAAATATATATTTATCGTAACTTGGCATCTAATTCGAATTCTTGAATGTTCCAGGATCTGACGCCACGAGTCTGCGTGATGATCGCCAACCGCCATTTCACGTTCAAATGGCTACTTCACGCTGAAAATTTCGATCGAAATTTGTGGACATCACAACGCCAGAAAAATTGTGCAGCTTACCAGGGAAAGCAGAATAATAGGTAATACTGTCTTTAATTAATGTCATTAATAGATTACATTGATTATCAATTACAAAATTCACAGTTCTTTATTCATTCTTTGAAAAATAATGATTTTAATCGTTTTGACCATCTTGACCATAAAAAAATAATATTTGTGTATTAATTACGATTGCAATTCAAATAACGTAAATCCAAACTTTATTGGCTCATTATGAATATAGAATAAAATTATACAAATTTGCATCATTATACCATTCCTATCTACCTAACAAAAGCATCTAAGTATTGAAAAAATGTTTAAGAAATTTTACTTTTTATATTTCTAACATATTTGCAATAACTTATAAACATATGTATCATGAAACATGAAAAGTAAAATCTTAAACATTCTATCAATAATTAGATTCTTTTGTTAGAAACAAATTGTATAATTTTGCAAAGTTACAATTTTTTCTTACATATATTCTAAATTGATAGATTTTATGAGTCGAAGTACTTTTACTATGCTACACTAGATTTTCTAGAAACTGTGAACTTGTACGATGATATACATTTTCATAATTTCTTACAAATTTAATGAAACAGAGAAAAGATACCTAGGTATCTAAATGCTGAAAAAATGTATAAGTTTTCATTATCTCTGTTTCGTTAAATTAATAAGAAATTATGAAAATGTATATCATCGTACAAGTTCACAGTTTCTAGAAAATCTAGTGTAGCATACTAAAAGTGCTTCGACTCATAAAATTTATCAATTTATAATGAATGTAAGGAAAAACTGTAACTTTGCAAAATTATACAATTTTTATATGTATAACAAGGCTTAGATACCTTTGTTATATATGTAAAAATTGTATGATTTTAAACATTTATACAATTTTTCTTACATTCGTTATAAACTGACTAATTTTATGAGTCGAAACACTTTTACTATGGTACGCTATATTTTCTAGAAATTGTGAACATTTATGACACATATACACATTTTTAAAATTCATAACAAATATGTTAGAAACATATCAGATAAAAACTTAAACATTCTTTCAACATTTACATACCTTTGTTGTACACATATAAAACATAATAATTTGCAAACTTGGACAGTTTCTTCTTACATTCATTATAAACTAATAAATTTTGCGAGTTTATGCACATTTACTCCATTACACTACACTTTTTAGAAACTAGAAATATTTATGAAACTACACATTTTTATAATGTACTTTAAATATGTTAGAAACATAACACATTAAAGTTAAACATTTTTTTAACATTAGCGTATCTTTTTTGTATAAACGTAAAATGTATGATTTTGCAATTTTAATGTGTTAATATTGTAACTACTCTAATTTTTGAAACATGTTATTAATTCATGCAACATTTATTGCAGATTGTATACATCATCAAACAAAGGAACTTCGAACTTCGGCGCAGATAAAGCAGAGCTACTGCGATTTCGACGTAGATGATGCAGAGCTGCTCCGACGATCAGCGACAGCAGCGCTACTCCGATGATCAGCGACAGCAGAGCCAGTACATAGCCCTTTATCAAGACAATGGTTGGTGAGTCGCATGCATTTCTGTTCCTCTGGTCCCCAATCATGTCGTAGGACGAAAGGTCCGAATCGGCACGGGTGACTGGTTGTATACGTGGTCTTTGGCGAGTCAAGTGACCACGGGTATGCATTGCTCAGCATACTCGTGAATAGTAATATTTCTTGTTTTATTTATTTTAGACTAGGGTCTTCTTGTACTTCGGGTTTTATATTAATAACATAATAAATATTTCTTGATACGAACTCCGATGATCGAAGATATAGTAGTTTTTATTTTACAATATTATTAAAATCAATACATAAAAATGATAATATTGAATTAAAATTTAATATATACTGTATTATTCAGTATATATATTATTGAATGATTTTATCTTCTTCTATGTTTTTGAAAATATGTACAAGAAGGACGTTTCGCGATAAGTCGATTCCTGCGTTAAAGTAACATGATTTGCATCTTTTTATAATTAGAATGTATACTTTTACAAGGGAATCACTTTAGTAGGTCAATGTGAATATTAAATTTTCAATATAAATTATACTATTGCAAAAACTTATATATCACATTTTTTCATAAATAATTCAATTCTTATTAAAGTCATTTTATTGATAATTAAATTGTTCAATATTAATAAATTCTATAAATTAAAATTCGAGTCATTTTTACTGAAAATAAAATAACGCAGAAGGATGCGATACTAGACCGCTTAGATTTACTAATTATTCTTTTTAGTGAGGATTTTCAGGTTTAACCCTTCCGTGTTCGTTGCCTAAGCTCATTCACGTGCCCAGGTGCTACTTGGCTGAGCGAAGGCAATGGGCACGATGACTTAGTCTGTAATATTAATCCATTTTTATATGAGCGACTGACTTTGTGCAAACGTATCGTGCACCGACGTACTTTCCACATGTGTATGTGTGGTTAGGATGTGGAATTGCGTCGGTTGTAGCAAAATATTTCTATTACTATTCATTGTAGCTTTGATATTAAACATTATCACAAATCAATGATAAATTCATGAAAATGAAAGTTCATGATAATCAATTGAAAATGAACTGTATGATTGATTCATAAATTCATTATAATCTATAAATGAAATGATATTTCGTACCATTATATTTCTATTACTATGCATTCTAGTATCAATATTAATTTTCATCCTAAATCAATGATAAATTAATAAAAGGATGACACTACTGTATGATTGATCTAATGCATATAATTATCAACGATTATATTACATCCAAGTATTGCAAATAAATATCGATATATACATATTACATATACGCAATGGTCGGTAGCCTTTGTCAGTCGATTTCAGGAACTGGTACGTACCTTTAGAGTGTGAATGTTGTGTATGGTATCCTCGGGTGTCGGAGGTGTCCCGGGACATCTCCCTAGTTTAGGTCGCGCCCGAGAGCCTTGATTGAGGATCGTTGAGCGTGTGTGTTGGTGTGATTGTTTTGCCATTTTTAAATATAGGGCTAGGTAGGTAGGTAACTTAACTTGTGGTGTGTATGTTAAATCCCGGTAGGTAGGGTCCAGGGCAGATCTCGTCACTTTAATTTGAGTAGGTCGCGCAACGGTCGACGGATCTGTTACTGTAGGTGGATTTGAGGAGTCGTTGCGATCACGATGCAAACGGAACTTCTGTTCGTTTGTTTCGGAATCTGCTCTCGATTCTTCGGGTCTCGACTCTCTGAGTCGTTGCTTCGCGGTCGCGGTCGTGATCAGTAGGGTAGTTCGAAACGCTCGTTCCCTCGAGGTTCTAGACGTGTGGTTCACCGGGTTGAACGTCCACGTATTGCACTGAACCTCGACCCTAGCTATAAGTTTCAGATGGGACAATGCGTCCGAAGAAAGAAGAGAGGCCCTGACAAATTGTCGCAAGAAAGGGCTGCAACGAATGGCTCTCCATCTTCGGATTCGAAGATGGGGTGTCATTACTATGTATTACTACTTTGTCACTGTACTCGCCTGTAGTTGTAGTAGTTTGTTTCTTTGGGTCATGTACCCCAACGTGGGATATCATTGTGTGTCAATTTGGCAATTCACGTTTGATTTTAGTGTTGCGACATGAAACTATAAATCGCGTTCGTTTGTGAGGATTGTTTTTATTAGAATTTTTCGCGTTTTATTTCAGAGTAGTGTTACGTAATACAGATCAACCGCGAATGCTATTAGAGTTGCGTTTATGTAAATAAATATTGATCGCGTCCGATTTGTTATGATTAAGAGTTTTGCTTTTGAATAGAATCTTTCGCGTTTTATTTCAGGGTAGTGTTGCGTAATACAGATCAACCGCGAGTGCTATTAGAGTTGCGTATAATGAATATCGCGTCCGTTTGGAAGTAGTATTTAGAGGCAATTTAGCTTTTGATTACAATTTTTCGCGTTTTCTTCCAGAGTAGAGTTGCGTACAAAGACCAGCCGCGAGTGCCATTAGTGTTGCGCTTAAATGAATCGCGACCGATTTGTTGTAAATTCACGCGTTTTGAATTGGTATTTCGTTATATGAAAAGCCCAAAAGACACCATCATCACTTGAGGAATCACCAAGCAGTCAAAGTGGCTGCCACTATGATTCTCCGCAGCCTGAGATGGTTGCGCTGGATTTTTAATTAGGGATTCGTATTACTTGCTGGTGCACGCGATTTGCTTTTCTTATACTTAATAGATTAGTGTTTCGAATAATGATGCACCTCGCGATTTCTTTTGATTACTACTTTTCGCGTTTTCTTTCAGGGTAGTGTTGCGCATAAACATTGATCGCGATTGCTGTTAGTGTTGCGACTGATAAATCGCGTCCGATTTGAAATAATTTACATATTTTCAAGTAGTATTTTTCGCGTTTTCTTTCAGGGTAGTGTTGCGAATAATCATGAATCGCGTTTGCTATTAGTGTTGCGTTTGATAAATCACGTCCGTTTTGAGGTAACTGCATATTTTTAGTTAGGACATCAGAAGAAGAAGACCATCTACGGATTTTTTTTTATATTTGAAGAATAGAGAATAATATACTTTTGTTCTGTTGCAGATGACTGTGGGGAATTTTGAATTGACTATACGACAATAGAAATATTGGTATGTATAAAGTATAATCATATCGGGAAATTTGTATATTTTATTTAACATAACAAGTCGTTTCATTTTTATGAACCATATATTTCTCTTATTGTAAGAGTGGGTTCGAATTAAATTAACATATTGTCGTTAAATGAAGTCATTTGTAAATTTTGCTTGAATTGAATATTATAAAATGTTACGGTACATTTTTTAATTTTTCTTTTGTCTTGGCATTGAAGCATAATTCGTTTTTAATTTAAATTTTGTAAAAAAATATTGAACTTCTTTGCATTTGAATTTTAATTGTAGTACGATTAATATCCAAAATATTCTTTTCTGCTGTCATATTTCGATTTGTATGTGCATATTAATCCATTGAACAAGTTTATGTTATAGAGTACACGTATTAATGCATATTTAGGATCGAGAAGTGGAATGTAGAAAGTTGGAAATCGAAACCCAATATTCGTCTTCAAGAGGAATGGTCAAAATCAGTATGATAACTTGAAGTTGGCATGTCTAATATACCAAACTTCAAGTTTTCTTTAATATGTTTCAGTTTATGCTTCAGAAATTGTTCGTGATATCATTGATTACAAGAAGAAAGAAGGAAACTTGTATGTTCCTGTATTTCCTCGAATATCATCGGAGGCTGGATGTGTTGATACAGTTGGATTTAGAATATGTTAATAAGAAAATTGTAATAAGAAATAAGAGAAACACTATAGTGTTTCATTATATGTATATATTAGCCGTTGTATATGAAAGCTGTTATATATTTAAGTTTGAGCGCTCAAATCGGTAGTAACAATTAATATTTAACGATAAGACAGACAAACGGAAACCTAATTACATGTATTTTCCCTTTTTCCTTTTCTCTTCCAAAATGTAGTACTACATTAGTATTCGACAAATAATGAGTCATTATTTTTTTATATTTTTATTAGTGTATGCCATGGGGAATACAAAATCTAGATTAAAAAGGGTGGCTAGGATGTGGCTAGCTAGCTAATCAGCTGGCTGGTTTTGTTCTGGTCACCCTGTGGGTCTCCATATGCAGCAACCTCCAAGTGGTGAGACCTGGGCCCTCTATATTATTTGAAGTATGTAATTGCTAACTGCACATCGCCAGTAAGGGTCAGATGACATTATCAATTCCATACCAAGTGATATGAGCTAATGGCTGCAATTTTTCTCGTTTACAAGTAAATGAAAATATGGTAACTTGAAATTAGAATCTTTTTGATCCTATTATTATTATAAAAGTCTGTAGTATACAGAACGTAATTAATAATTTGTTATATAAATATCTTATTCGTTTCTATTTCTATTTTTGTTTCTATTTAGACTATAAATTAGGGAATGTTCACATGCAGTTCAAAGGATCTTCGTTTCAACAAATATAACTTTTGAAATGACAGAAATCTTTCAAATTGCGTCTCACTTTCTCTGGTTTACTTTCTTTGGAATAATTTAAAGCAATTTAAAAAAACCCACTATTATATTATATATTTAAATAATTATAAGTGTCCCACCTTTTTGATGGACCGTAATGCATGGTGGGACATTTTTAATCTCACCTCGAAATTTTTGCAATAACTGCATGTGTATAGGTGTGATACCTTTATTGATAAAAATATAACAATTCTGTTTGATTTAAAACGCAATAAAATTCCTGTGCAACATGGGTCTATTTTATGACCTGAATTCCAGTGCCGCAAAGAGTTAAATCGTCATACAAATTCAGTGACTCCTAAATGCGGCGCCCCCTTGTGAGTCCCACGATGATTCTGTGACCCTCCCGTCCTTTATCAGTTCTCCGTCCAGTCGTACAAAAACTTCACACCGGGCAAGAGAATGATAAGGGACTTCGAGCACATAACCACGCACGCCTTTAACGGGACGTTACTAAAAATTCCAGTTGTCTTTTGGTATCCAATGATTTTGTGGTTCACTTCTGTCAGTTCTGTAAACAAACAAAAAAAAATGTTTAGATACCAAAGCGCTCTCGCAAAATTATATCGTTCTTTTTTTCAGACAAACGTCAATGTCGATAGATAATAGCAATGTCGATATTTTTTCCAACGAATAATATTATATAATATAAACTATTTCTGTCGACAATAACGTAAGCCTATATGATTACATTAAGTGTAAGGTATGTTTAATGCGTGTGCATTTGAATAATGTCTGTACGATATACATATGTACAATAGTTCGTGTGCAATTGCACGAGGTATGAACGTTTTTCAAATATTTCGAATTGGCAAATGCCTTTATTGATTCTTTCCAATTTCGTTTAAATGGCTATAACATGGGATATTATGCGAAATTAAGATTCCTTGTATTTTATGAATATCACGTGCAAGTGTTAAACCAAGGGAACATTACTCCAACATTTATGTTCTCTCTTATGTTTCTTTGATTGGATCGTTTCACTTTCTGAAGAATCCTGATAAATACCTCACTAAGGGATACAGTAATAATAAATATCTCCTAGATAATACTCTACTTCTTTTTTACGTTTATTCGATTTAATAATTATTCGGACAAGCTGTTACGTATTCGTTTGTAATTTGCTTGTATATCCATGCAACGCCGATTGCAATTTCTATCGACTAAAAATAATGAATCGAAAGTTGATATCTCACGCGTTATTCGAAATTCTGTATCCGAATAAGAATTTTATCCAAGTTAGTCGAACAACATGCATATTTATATCGCGCAATATTATCTAATCGCGAGAGAAATTTGTGTTTGTTCCCAGATTACAGAATGCGCCGCGTTAGCGAGTAATCTCGTGTTTTGTTAGCGCGTATCTGCAGCACTCGCGAATGCGACTGGTAACGAAGAGATATCGACTAAGCGTGTTCGAAGAACGTCTGCTTTTTCGACAAATAAGATTTACGTCCCTTGAGTCACTCCCCGTGACTCAACGGGCCCAGAGCACAACGGGTCGAGTGAGATGTAACTTGAATTATATCGGTTCCTCGGTAAATACCAACGACTTTCCTATATCGATAAGAGGGCTCGATAAGGTAAAAGGAACTCTTTTCATACATTTCAATCAATTTTATCGCTTAGCGAATAGGTAAATTTTAACCGAATAATAGATGAATAGAATAAACGTACAAGAATTTATTGCTGTAGAGTTTTTCGTTGTATATTGTGAAGTATTTAATTTCATAATTTGAGTTCTAATTTATCTTTTATAGATTCTTTTAAATTTATACTTGGATAAGAATTTTTATCATCTCTGCGCGCATTTTGATCATCTTTGACACAGAGATGTTCAATTTTTTATGAAATTGATGATTTTTGATAGAAAATCGATTTTTGCAAAACATTGCAGCATCCCGTGAAGCGTGAATTTCTAATTTGACGCGTACTTCATTTGACAACAGAAGCAAGTATTTTTATTACTGTTTCTAAGTTCTTATCGAATATTCCTCAGAAAGATATTCAACAGCATTATAGTCTTGGCAGGCTGTATAAGTTAATATACAAACAAGTTAGGAATTTAACTATTCCTTAAGAATTGTTGGAAAATGCATGAAACGAGTGATTCTTTGTCGAGAATCGTTGCTAGATAGTACCTGTCAATTGCAGTGGACGTTCGTTTCGGCAAAACGTTTTTTTATTTTCAAGGGCAGGCAATGTTATCGTCGACAGTCGCAGCCAAGTTAACCATCCAGGCATCTGTAACATTTATTATTTTCAAATTTACTATCATTAAAATATTGGCGAATAAACAATGATTAAGTTAGACTTTCACGAACATTCTTGGACGTGTTCTTCGTTATTTCAAAGTTTGTTCTAATATTACATTTGGTGGAGGTTATACAACTCGATAAAATGCAAATGAAATAATGTATAAATATCGCAATGAAGTCGAAATCGTCGATTCAAGTTTGTTCTTCGAATATTATAGGTAGGAAACGATTTTTTTAGCAATTCTAGTCGTAAATCGATTTTAGAATTGATTTAAAAGAATAAAAATAAAGATATATAACAGAAGAACGCCCAACGGAAACTGGGATCATAGATCGGTAACACGAGAAGCAAACTGCTGTGTTGACGCTAAACGTCGGTAAACACAAGCGTTCAATGTCATCGGAAAGGATCTCAATAGCAGAGCAGAAATAGGCAAAACTTTATTAGGATAATATGAGGTGTAGAAATTAATTGTGCCTTTATATTCAGTCATTCATAACTCTAGTTTAAGTAGAAATACTTACTTGTGTAATAAGAGTATAACATTAAGTTGAGACTTGGATTACGTGTATAAATTCATTGCAATAGAGATCAGATTGAGGACTTGGAAGGTTGGTACTTTAGTGTAGCAAAATTATGATTATGCGTATCTGTTTAAACTACAACTATAAATGGTTGAATATTATAGCACAGAATTAATTTCGGTACTTAATAGATAATCAATGTGAAGCCTAATGTATACTAATAATTATCATTGTCAGAAAATGTTGTATACAGTGTGTATTACAGCAATAACGTTAAATTTAAAAGAAACATATATGTGCAATTGTTTCTTCAAAGTTACTTCTTTAACATTTAAATTTCTTATGAGGAAAGAATTTATCAGTTTCACTAGATTTAATAGTTCGTATTCATTATTACATGTTTCATTATGAATCTGGCTTACGATTGTAGATACTTTATAATTAAACAACGATTTTCCCTTGCTCTATTTAGTATCATTAGTCAAATTGCTAAAGACAATTTCTCAAATTTAATGAAATATATTTGTCGGATCAGAACATTACTGTCCAATGCGAACAAATACAAAATATTATAAAATATAAATATAAAATATCAACAATAATATACATGTTGTAGACCTTCAGAATATAAACACACACTTCCATTTAAGTTTCAATTATTTCAATTCTCCTAAAAGTATTACTTTAACCGAAACATCTAAGTGAAACTTTTTGACTACATTTGAACTCAATTATTACAAAAGGTCATTCTTATTAACAATTTTTTGATTATGAAACTTTTCGTATAAAATAATATAATAAAATGCTGGCTAAATCATTCGATCGCTGAAATTATAATATAAATCGATTTACATTTCAAGGTCTAGAGATCAAGTAGAAAACCCCCGATATCGTCAAAAGAATTTTCCTTTGTACTAGCCTATTCATTGAACCGAGTGAATGCTCTCAAGACAGGAATGCCACATTGTACTCCGAACTCTTTCTTCTTCTCATTGTATAACACTTTCATGTTTTACACTTCCACATCGCGTGTAAAAATAGATCACGTCTACCCATGGTTACACCCGACTTTTACGGCCCTGAATCGAGCCCGCGTGGACTATTATACAACACACACGCACTCGATTTCTTAACCTTGGACCAGACTGGCCAGTTTCTCTCGTTTTTCGATCATTACGAAGAATTATACCGGAGAACTTCTCCACAAAAGCAGTTCACTCTCGATGTCTTTGATCCGCGGATGACGTTGCGAACAGGCCCTCGAGAAAACCTTGCACGAGTTTCTACCCCTTCGAAAGAACTGGAAATCCTATAGTACTGTCGAAGCGTTCTACTTTTTCCACGGTACGACTTTTTTTTCTCGGAACGATCACTTTTAGACCGAAAAACAATTAGAGGATCGCAGATTTGTATGCATTTATGGTAAATGAAAATATGGGAAAATCTAAAAGATTAAACATTTTTTTAAATTTAAATGATAGAACGAACTTTTATTTATCGTATTTTTTGGACTATAAGACGCACTTTTTTCTTCGAAAAATTCCCTCCAAAATTCAGGTGCGTCTTATACTCGAAATTAATATATTGGGTCGTCCGGAAAGTCCATGTCGATTTTTGGTAGCTGGTACAGGTCTGAATATATCGAAATGGTTGAAAACAAATAACATGTAACAATAACAATAACAAATAACATACATCCCTTAAAGGGTGGAAAGGTTGTGGAATAATATGGCACCTATGTAATTCAAGAAATACATGTATGTATATTATATGCCTTTGAATTTTTCTTAGACTTGGCACGAACATTCAGGACAACCTAATAAAAATGTCCAGTGTTTGACTTAAAATTCCCGCCAGTCTTAAAAATGGCCATATAGAAGCAATCTAGTAATAAAAATGATATCTTTTAATAGTCTAATAGTCCGTAACATACGGCAAGTCTAAATTCTTTCTCTGTACCTATGAAAATACTCTTATAATTATCAATATTTTCCCCAACGCGTGAACAAACTGTGTTTAACGCAATAAACCCTTTCGTACGTGTTGAATTTTCTGCAATTAATCTAATTAATCTCAGATTCCTTCGCAAGAATTCGTGAACAACTACAATGTGGCGAAGGCTACGTGTTTCGCGAGCGACGTTAAGTCGTAGGTGGTTAAATATCTGGGAAACCACGGTATAACAAGGTTGTCCTTTATGGGGTTTCCACTGATTCAGATCAACGGCCGTGGCTTAATTGATATCGATCTGATCGGTGTTAGTTTGCAGCGACTGAGAATTCAGAAATCAGTAATTAGACGCGAGTGTGACCTACTTACGTATTTCGCACAGGCTTCGAATGTCTCAGACGCTGATTTCAACAATTACATCGTGCTGTAATGTTAGAAATTGTGTAAAATTCTATCGCGTAAATCGGTCGTAATTCCTTTTTAATTAAAACAGGTAAATTTGTTAGAGGAATAGTTATCGTCCCATAACAATTGCAATTGTTTCTAAAATTTTGCCATGAGACATGTGCGTGAAGTTTCGAATTTTGAGTTTTTCTTTCTTGTGCCATATTGTGCTAGATTTGTGCTGAATTGTGCCGTAAACCGCAACTCTGTAAGTGAAAGTGTACTCAAGAAAATAGAACAAAAGAAAATTTTTGATAGTCCCGCACTTTTCGAATTTTTCTTTGTTGTGCCATATCGTGCTATATTTGTACTGAATTGTGCCGTAAATAAGAAATCGATAACATCAATAACAATTAAGAAAAGAAATAGAACCGAAGTTACACTAGCCCCGCTCTTTTCTCGAAACAAACTTTCTTTTCGTAAAAAAAAATGCATACTAACTGGTGCTACATTGTGCCATTGATAGAAACTCGATATCTCTATTCATTTTGCAGATAAAAAAATGTTGAATTTTGAGGAATAAAAAATTTAATATTTGCACAATTTGCGAACGGCGACAGATAATCGAATTCTGCAAGTTGTGCTAAATTATCCTACTCACAATACTCGTGAATTCGATTATCTGTCGCCGTTCGCAAATTGTGCAAATATTAAATTTTTTATTCCTCAAAATTCAACATTTTTTTTATCTGCAAAACGAATAGAGATATCGAGTTTCTATCAATGGCAAAAGTTAGTACGCGTCTTTCTATAGAAGAAAAAGTTTGTTTAGGCAAAAATGCGGGGCTAGTGTAATTTTGGTTTTATTTCTTTTCTTAATTGTTATTGATGTTA